AATTACACAGAAAAAAAGAATGGAAGCAAATTTCGGCAAGCCGAAATTTATGTACCCTTTCAGCTATTGCAAAAATTAAACACCTAAATTTCTATGGCAGCTATGTATGTATAAGAAATCGTTTTCCAATATTAATAAAACTAAAAGCGAAATTCTTAGTTGTTAAACCATTCCTATGTCCGAAAGAATTACAAAACAAAAATTGAAAATTAGAGCAGTTACAATTTTGTTGCTCATTTTTTTTTTTAATAATCTGATTGTGCCCATGGGAGAATATGATTTTGATCAAAAATAAACCGCAATTCCAATATGATAAGCTATCACTAAATATCGAAAAACTATAAAAAAAGTGAAAGACAGCAATGTTAAATTTTTTTTCCATTTTTTCCGCGATTGTTCCTATGGCAGCAATATGATATAGTCGTCAGCTCGTTCCGACTTACTTGTATATACTTCCTGCAATAGGAAGTCAGCTTTCAGCAAAGTTAGCAAGCAGATAGCAAAGGTATAAAAACACCTCTTTAAAACCTATGCATATATACATACATAACCGAATTTTAAAAGTACATAAAAAACAGGAACTGTAAGTAAGAGTTTAAAAAAATTAAAGCCCAAATAAAATTAACAAAAAGAAATTCAGCAATTAAATTCTTTAGTAATATATTTTTGATTACGTTAGCATTTTTAAAATAAGAATTTTTAAAATTTCCTTTCGCACAATAAAATCTCTTTTGAGAAAAAAATGTTTAACTATAGTTTTTGAGATTCGTTCAATATTTGGGGTTTAATAAATGCACAAAGCAAGTGGCTAATTAAACTGATAGCTTTTCTCAGTGCAGAAGGTTGCTAAGACTGGAGCGTTAAATAGTAGATGGGTGGCAGTGGTTGGGGATGTTTTTGTGAGAGAAGTGGGTGGTTGGTTGGTTGGATGAATGAGTGGCATGGTGGGCGGGCTGGGAAGGTGGGTGGATATGTTGCGACGGGTGGCGCCGGCAGCAATAACAGATAATTTAAAGCAACACGCCAATGCTGACTCCACCAGAGCTCTCCGATTTCCTGATTCTCGACCGGCTCCTGGTTTCCTCGCCCGCTGTGCCTCCAAGTGGCCGAATGGCAACTGTTGATAATGATGATGGAGATGCCGTCGACACGCTCTCGCCACGGGATACAGTGTGGCCTGGCTACAGAAATATATGATCACCCTGTAGCGATCAACCCAGAAAATTATATATCTAATTACAATATTTGTTGTATTTTTTTTTAACGGCATAATAAAAATTCTGTTGATATTTGATATTTATCCTGAATTGATTTTGCTTGTTGTTCATGAACAAATAGAATATATATATATATATTGTATAACTATTATTTACTTTAACTTTGTCTTTAAAAATATGCGTGTTTTCTGTGCCTGGGGGAACGGGATTTAAAAAAATGTGTACTTCAAAATATAAAAAAACCTTTTTTTATTTTAATATATTTAAGATATTTTAAGATAATTATTTTTAAGTATTTCAAGTATTTATAATAACTTTTCAATGCTGGTAATTTTTCTGGTATCCATAACAATTTCCCTTTAACTTTATTATTTACAGAGAAGAAATAAATGGACTTCATTGACTTGAAATTGATATTGAAAACTATCTTAAATGCCAGAAAAGACCTTAAATTTCTGAAAAGTGCTGCACTTATTCTATAAATAAGTATTGTTTATTGTTCTTTAATACTTAAAGTATTTGATTAACGTTATAAAAATATTTATTTATACAATGCTAACATATAGTTAAAACTAGGAGCTAACAAAAATAGTGGTTAGAGCTATAGCTGCAAGAGGCCTTCAGCTCTGAGGGTGGTATAGTATTTTATACTAACATTATTTATTTATTTATTTTATATTTATTTATTCTACTTATAGTTTTATAAATATATACATTTTCAGGTGAACTAATATACCTTATGAATAGTTTATATATAGGCTAAAGCCTGGGTGGGGGCTTTGATTGGGAAATGATGAGAATCGTTGTGCAGAGAGAGAAGGGCATAGGGAAAGGATATGGTGAACGTCTAGAGGAGCGTTGTTGCACAGTGGGCATGTGTTCGGTATTGAACGGTCAAGATAGTGTGCGTTTGTCCTCTTTGTGTGGCCAAAAAAAATAACTTTATCGTTTTGTCATTTATAGAGAGAAAATATCTGGACTTCGTTTAATTCTTTATATGCTGAAAAATACCTTAAGGTCCTGAAACCCCGCTCAGATTAGCTCATTAGCGGCTTAACGCACGTCTTGAACGCTTCATTAGCTCCCAAATGTTATGACAAAGCGACCTTCGATTTGGTCAGTTGAAAATCCTTAGTCCCGATTTTGTGGCTGCGACTCGCTGATGTTGATTTAAATGTTGATGCAACTGTGGGCGGACTGTGGGCTCCTTGAGGTCGCCGCAAACGCACACGCGCGTGAATCAAACGGCACAGGTGGGTGGTTAAGTGGGTGGTTCAGTGGCTGGCTGGGCTGTACAGTGGTGTGTGAATCGGTGTCTTGTCTCGCTGTCACTGTGCGTGTGTGTGTGTGTTTATACAAACACACGCAGTAATTAATTTTATTTAATTTTCGACGACAATTCAAGCGACAAGAGCAAGGGCAGCCAAAAAGCCGTCACAGAAATGAGAGTAGAACTGGTGGGGTGGGCGAGAAAGGAGGCGGGGCTTTTGTGGCACAGGAAAAAACAAGTTAACAAAACGACAACAATAAAAGAAAAGCTTGCCGAAATGACCAAAGCGTTCAAAGAAGGCGGACAATGCCAAAAATAAAAATGCCCCAACAGATGACCATTTTTCGCTTGCTCTAAATGTTTGACACGAGCCAATGCACAGCACAAAAATGAACAGAATTACATTAGATTTCAAAATAAGTAATTTTGTTTACCAAATTTGCATACTGATAAATCGTCAAGATTTGGAATAGTTTTGATCTGTATGCAGTCCAAAGTTCATTTACTTTAAAAATAAGCAATTTCTTAAAAATGAATAACCTGTTTATTAATTTTCTAGTATTTTAAAGCATTTAATTTTTGATATTGTTAACGATTATGGTAAAACAATTTCTTTGAAAACTGCTTAATTTAATTAAATTTTTTCTTGTTCCCAGTTTTCTATAGATTTGAGGTCAAAGTTACTTTATTTTAAATCAGGAAAAACTTTGTGTTAAAGATTATTGATGCTATTTTATTTAGTTCTTATCTTTTATGAATCTTATAAATCTTATATATTTTATTTATATTTTTAATTCTGTGACTTACATAATTTTTAATTTATACATTTTTTTTAATGTTATATTTCATTATTTCTTTCTTGTTTAGTATGGAATGCGTGACTTTTTGGCTCTGCGTGTATCCAAAGATAAGGCCAAGGGACTGTCCGTTGTCCTTTTCGTCCGTGCAGGGGGCACATAATTATCAGCCACATCAGCCGCAGACGACAGGACTTTGACTTTTAGAGGGAGAGCGAAACTGGCGAAACTGGCGAAACTGGCGAAACGTAACGAAACGAAGTAAGAAAACAAGTTTAACTTAATTGTCAACATTGTGCCAAGCGGACACAAACAGCGACAGCAAGGACAATGGAAGGATGTGGAAGGACATGGGCAGGAGATAGGGGACAGAGGAGGAAGATGACCAAAAGAGCACAAAAAAGGAGCTCAGGGAACAAGCAGAAGTTGAATACCAAAACGGAAGGCCATAAAGTAACGGCACTAATGATGGAGCACGCCATCTTTGCAAAAATGGTGTGGGAAAGGGAAAGGGCGAGCAGTGATAGAGAGAAAGAGAAGTCAGCAGTTCTGATTTTTTAAACATTACAAATTCATCAAAAAAAAACTTATAACAAGCCCTCAAAGAATATATATAAAACATATACTTTCATTTTAATTGGTTATCCAAATATAACATAAAGGAGTAATCAGAAAACATTTATAAGATATTTAAATTACAAATAATTATTTTAAAGTTTCAAAATATCTATCAAATAAATATTAAAAATAAGTGTTAAATATAATTACTGATTAAAAACGGAATGAACCTTTAATCGCACCTTTAATTTCTAAAATTTTAATTTGCCTCAATTCAAATTTTGTCACCTTTATGGCACGCTTAATTTTCAACGGAGCACGAGCAAAAAACTAAACGCGAAAAAAAGTACAATCAAATGGCAGCGTGCTAATGAGACTCTAAACAAGCGTCGGGACCATTAACCCATGCCACCCCCCAGTGAAAAACGCATGCCAGCACGCTTCTCATAACCCTTAACACTCGCTCCCCCAGAAAAAAAAGGCAGCGAGCTCAAAACGAAACACAAAACAAACAGCAAACAAGTAGCGTGCCATGGCAATAAAATTTAAAAGCGTGATTATTTTCAAGAAGCCAAAAGAAATAAGCATAAATGGGGCTGGTGTGAAGGGGTTTTAAAATAAGAGAATTTAAAAAGCTTTCAGCGCGGACTAATTATGATTTGTGGCGGCTAAAAGCTAATTGCAACTAATTTCAGTTGGCTTAAAAAAAAAAAACAAATATCTCAACAGTCCCGCTAAAGCGCACAAAACCAATTTGAATTTGAATTTAAATGCATTTATGGGAACCACTATCGATAGCAATCGATAAAGAAGGGAGACTGAACGAGCTAGTTCACCAGTGTGTGCACACCTTAATATTGTTTTTAAAAAAATCATAAAAATCGAAATATCATCGTTTTTTAATCAATTTACTAAGTTAATAATTAATAATTTTTTTGTATATATTTTTTGGCAAATTAAAAAATGTTTAAATGTTTTATGTTTTTAGAAGGTTTGAACTTCTTAGCTTTTATAAAAACAAACGACCGAAATGTTTTTTCGTAACACAAATTATGTCATAGCTCTTTTAATCGTTTTAAGGGCTATGTTTACATTAATTTTTCGGAAGGAAAGCTTTTCTTAATTCTATATGATTTAAAATGTTGTCAATCGATAACCATTCGTTGCCTATAATCGATAAGCGCAGCTATATATCATTATTTATATAAACAGTATGTTTTTACGTATTTTATATGTTGCCGATTTTGGCGGCTTCAGGCTGTTTTAACGCATATATTTGAATTTAAGTACAATAATTACAAATTTTTTAGGAAACCAAGTGGCCAGCTGATTTCAGTCAGTGGGAACAGATGATCACAACAGACTAAACATTACCCAATTAGACTGCCCACAAAGACGATTCCCGTACAGTAAAGACAATGTCGGAGGACAAGCAATTTATAAGAAGGGAAAAGGATACCAAGGAGACTGGACACCAGATAATAACAAAGGATGTGGACATATATCGGGACACCTTCATTCGCTATATGGGTGAGTTCTTATCTGGATAAGACCAACATGGTTAGACGACTAACTCCCCTTTTCTTGTTTTAACTACGCCAACAGGTTACAGCAACGAGATTGGCGAATCCTTTCGCCCTCTAGTGCCTAAATCCCTGGTGGCTGCTACCTACGGCATGGCCATCGGATACGTCTGCACGGATACCTTCGATAAGACACTCCGCCTCCAAATGGACGGGGCATCCCCCCGAGAAGTGGCCATCAAGGGCGGCGACGTCTTTGGCTGGCAGATGCTGGCCTCCGTGGCCATTCCCGGCCTGGTCATCAATCGGTGGGTTCCTCCCTTTCCTGGGGGACTATCACCCAAAAACCCATATCGGTTATGGTTGAGAGCATACTACCTCTTAGTCGTTTTATTTTCATATTGGTTACGTAATGGTTAGCTTAAATGAGATACAAAGCTGAGCTTAGATACTTTAAAGTACTGTCATCTATAGTATATATTTACATAGTATATCGTCATAGCAAGCTAGGTCGCGACTAACTGGTTATGAAGTACTATAATTTAGTGTGGGTAGATGTCATCATTTATTTATTTTTTATTTAAGTACCACAATTTTGTGTCGGTAGATAGTGATATCAGCGTTCTCATTTGGTTAACAAATTTTGTAAATAAAATATATTGTATGTATTAATTTTTTATATAGTATATTGTTATAACAAGCTATGTTGCTAATAACTTTTTTAATAGTTTTGATGTTGGTTTAAGGTCAGCAAAGAAGTCATCATTTCCATTTCAGAAGCAAATTTATATATATCTTAGTGAGTAGACTAAAGCAAATATTTTATTGACTGAGAGTCGCAGTATAAAATTATCATTAACTTAAGCTCCTTTTTCAGTATATTCTAATATAGAAATGTATGATTGGGATTTTATGTGAAGACAAAAAATTCAATAGTCCTCGTGTCAACAAGCTTAATTGTTAGTCGGAAAATATGCCAAACAACTTAAACTATCACATATGTACATATAATATTCTAGATTTTTTCGAAGAATATTTTAACGAGATTTAGTTGTATATGTAAAGACTCTATTATTAATTGACTTGAAGGGTTTTTCGTTCAGGCTAACTTTTTTTGTAGTGACATAATACTGCATATTGATGATAGGGTTTTTGCCTTTTCAGGATCACTTGGGCCACCAAAAGACTGCTGAGCCGAGCTCCCATGCCGCTGCTGAAGACGGTGCCCACTCTTGTGGGCCTGGCCAGCATCCCGCTGATCATCCATCCCATCGACACCTTGGTGGACCGCCTGATGGACGCCACGTACCGCAAGATGGTCAGGTAGTGAACGCCGCGATGACGATCGATGGCAACCTGTTCCTATCCTGCTATCCTGTACACTCCCCCGGTGATAGTTCTTAGATACTAAGTGTTCGTATTAACTGTAGCGAAGCTTTATAACCCCAAAAATCCAGTTTGCATCTTGACAAGGATTTTCCAACTTAACGTTTTTGTTTATTGCAATTTGGGTGTGTGGGAGGGGGGGGTGTGTGCGGGGCAAAATAGTTAAAAATGTACACGCTTTACAAAAATAATCATTTACACAAGACTGAGGCAACAGGTGAAATGCCGGCCTTTAGGCCCTTGTCCCGAAAGACACCTAGTTCTTCTCGTCGTCGTCGTCGTCGTCGCTGTCGATCAGATAGGGACTGTCCAGGGCGCCCAATCCGGCGGCCACGCCCCCTTCGTTGGCGGTCGAGAGCTTGGTGCGCAGCATGTGCCCCGCCTGGTAGTTGTGCACAATGTGCTCGGCATCCCCGATCACCACGCCGAAGATGCCCAGCTCGGAGACCATGTCCACGATCTGGGGCGGCATATCGCCACCGGGCCGCACCATGTAGCCCTTGGTCAGCGGCGGATGGATCAGGTCCATCAGGATCCAGGCGGACCGCTCCACGCGCGACATCCGCTGCAAGCAGAAATCGATCAAAATTCATCAGTAAACTAAAGATGACTTTATCACTGGCACTAGACATTTTTCAGATTTAACTGTAGAGACTATTTGCCTTAATGCTTTTGAATAGAGACACATAAATATAGCTTTATAAATTAAAAGAAATCAATGCGCCAATCTAAAATAGGTTTCTGTAGATTTCTAGTTGTGTACATATATGTTGATCCAAATATTGGACAAAAAATAATAAATAATTCATTATTGTAATAAAATACAATTAATATCGAAAAAATAAATAGTGATTTGCTGAAACCACACACCGATTAAGATTCGTAAGTAAACGGGTAAATGGAACTTTTAAAATAGTAGAGAATTATATTTTTATACTTTTCAAAATATCGAAATTAATTTGCTTTTTCGATTTGATTTCGATTTAATCAATCAATTGAGTGCCTTGAATTCGATTGACTGTTACTTTAAAATAATGTGGGCAGTGTTGGGAAAGGTACACTTTTTTATGGATCTAGGTACGGTACAAATACCTGTAAGTAAGTACTTAGGTAAGGTAAAAGACACACAATGTTTTAAGTATCTAATTTAAGTAAAAAGTGTGAAAAAGCTAAAAAAAAATAAAATTTAATCATTTTGATATTTTGTGTATCCTCCTGCAATTAAGTCTGCTTGTAGGTACATGTAAAAGAAACATAATTATATCTTGTACATGCGGTGGAGTTAAATTATTTTTAAAATGCAGTACAATTTATTAAAACATTTGCGAAATTAGTTCAACATTTAGTTTAACCGGTGTCACGCAAATATCAAAAACGAAAAAATAGATGTATATTTTAGTACCTAACAGGGCACATTCATAAGATAAATTGCCTCATTTTTGTTTTAAGTTTAGAAGCAGTTGAGCTAGAAAAGTGGAAAAGTTGGATAAACCTACCTTGAGGGCATCGGGTATGTCCACGCCATAAACATTATTGCCACCGCCCTCGCGCTGGGGCTTCAACACGAATCTCTCGGGAGTGCGCAACGCCATTTCGTAGCTGGCGTTGCCCGCCTCGTTGTCGTCCAGCGAATAGAGACCCGTGAAGATCTTGCCCACCGCCTTGATCTCCTCCGGATCGTTGATGAAGCGCTCGAGCACCGCCGGCTGGGCCAGGGCCTGCTGCACCTTCTTGGTCCCCGCCAGATGGTAGTGGATCGAGGGGCACTTGATGGCCAGCGATGTCTCCATCAGGTAGCGGGCATCCCACTCCGCCTGCGAGTGGTAGTGTCCGGGCTCGTAGCCGGCACGGAAGTAGATCACGGCCACCTCCTGGGTGCCCCTGTCATGTGCATATGCAAATGAAATTAGGAAAATTAGGAAAATTCCTACATATGTGGGACGGGGGGACCACCTACAGCAGCAACTCCTTGGCCAGACCCAGTTTGCCCTCACGGTGAACCTCGGTGAGGGTGCGGCGCAGCACCTTGATGTGCGGATACGTCTCGCGGATGTAGAACTCGTGGAACCGCTGGTCGCAGATGTTATACGACACATCCTCGATGATGAACAGGATCACAGCCTTCGGCTTGCCATAGATGTCCCAGGCCTTGACCATGCCATCGCAGAGTCCAGAAAGGGCCTTGTTGTTGGGCATCTAGAGTACAATATCAAGTTCAACCGAATTTATTATTCCTTCTTTTTATATGTTTTATTTATCTTAATTTTTCTCTGACTTTTAAACTTTTTTTTAGTATATAAAGGTCAAACTTGAGTAACATAGTTTTGAAATAATAAGCCTCTCTATATCTATCAAAGAAATGATATATTTTTAAGATCTTGTGAACTGCTTAATACTTGTTTGTTTTCGGGTTATAGAGAACATCGGACTTATAGAATATTGTATTGATAGGGGTTTTGACAGTATCTTAATATAATATTAATCTTTTTTTTTACAAATTTAAAAGGCTAGTTGGAACAATGTATGTACATTCTATAAGAAAAAATACTGCATATTTAAGTATAAACTTTATAGATAGCAGTATATGTTATTTTTTAAAAATAATTTCCCCGGTTTACTCACATTGTGCAATTTATCCGCATGTCCCAGTTCGCTAAGTACAAATCTGCGCGGAAGAAAGAGATGGGGAGTACCGGAACAGAAAGAGACAGATTAGCATGATTCCGTAATCGTATAATGACCAACAACAGCAACAAACAACAACAAATGTTTGGGGGCAGATGGGGGTTAATTACTGAGTCCAGAACCGCAAATAGTAGGTTAAGAATGTTTGGGAGTGGGAGTGGGACGGGGGGTGGTGGGGTTAAGTGTAAATGTTAAAAATGTAAAGCGTGTAGAAAGGGACGGATATACAGCTAGCTAGAACTAATTAAACCGCATGCAAATAAGAAACAGCAAACGATAGAGATGGAACCCTTTCAAAAGAAGTGATCTGTGATCAGTGATCAGTGATCACTGATCAGTGATTAGTGATCAATGCGTGCGTGAGTGATTGAGTGGGTGGGGGGGGAGGGGGAGGGGGAGTAGTTAGATAAATAGATAGATAGACAGGTGTGTGTGTTTTTTTTTTTTTAGATGTGTGTTTGTGCATCCGTGCGTTTGATAGAGATAGAGAGAGAGAGAGAGAGAGAGAAGAGCGCTTAATACTTCTGCTGCGGCACCAATTGGGTGGCAATGCCAGCGAAACTGGAGGCCACCGTGTTGATCTCGACCTGCTTTATCGCACAGCCCTCGGACACGTGTGCCATATAGTCGGATCGCAACAGACCGATGCTATAAGCCTGCAATTATGATCATTATACATTATATATACATTAGGTGCGTCACAGCAGCAACCCTTAAATTACCTACTTAGCCGGTAAAGCGATTAAAAAAATATATATTTGCATAAATCTAAATATGGTGTGATCCTCGGCCATAGTTCTTAATTGTATAGAATGAGGCAGGTGCATTTATATATAAATATATATATTTAGAGAGAGGTGAGAAATGGCGGTAGATGAGACAATGAAAATATGCTTTTCCCCAATTCGATTTGAAATATTTCCAGAGCTATTAATGCAGTATTTTCTAATTATCTTTAGAACTAGAGAGTAAAAGTTTCCACACACGCAATGTAATCTTATCCTTATCTCACATTGGATTTTAGCATATAAATCGCCTTTAAGAAGTGTTTTTTTTTAATATATTTTTAGCAGGGTAAGAAATAATACAAATAAGCAGAGTCATACATTTGGTTCAAATTGGACTTAACTATGATTCAGCTTTATTTTTTGGATAAGCAAAACCTTAGTCATATTGAAAATTATTAACCAATTCACCCGCTTTTTAAAGCCCCCATTTCATGAAAAATGAAACTAAGCAATGCGTAGCAAAAGCAAGTTTTTAACACCATTATAATTTACAGCGGTTACTTTTAATACGTAATGAATATGTTGTGATCCAATCTGTTTAAATTATGTTTACGTCACCGCTGCTGGCAATTAAATAAGCAGACAACTATCAAATACCTTTAAACAAAACCCCATTGAACAGGGGTTTTTGGTCTTAACATGTTTTTACTTGGCTAAGTTAAGCAGGTGATTCAATCGCTTGGCGGAATGGAGAGTTAAGATAAAACTGGCACCAATTACTCTAGTTGCTATCCATATTTTGCACCCAAAAATGCACCCGGTTTGTCCCTGTTATCGCTTTAAATAAACAATTACCAGGGGTATCTATATCAGTTGGGCCCGTATCCCTATCTGTAAACCTATCTGTAACCCTATCTGTAGTTCAGCTATGTGTTCGGTCTAAAAAGTGTGTCGAATAATCGTCAAATTCTGACCTTGAGACTATGAGATTAATATCTATCTTTAAGTGCATTTATAAGAAAGAAGTCTATATTATGCCTCTCATAAAAATATCTATATGAAAGTAATCATAAATAAATAATAAATGAAAGTAAATGGTTTTATTTTTATTTTGATTGATTAGACCTGATATGTATGTATGCATGTTCCAGAAACTTCTAGATATTTAACAAACACAATTTTCTAATTGTAAACTATATTATTTGGCTGAAATAACTATGAATGACTATTCTCTTGGAAACAAAATTAATACTATGGACACAGTTTCATCATCTCTTGAATATATCATATATTTTGTATATTTTCATGATATTTTGAGGACCCAAAATATTTCTATTCCCCAAAATCTCTCATTAAAAACGCAAAACTAAACTATGACGACTGTCACCTAAAAATAGCCTTCTCGATAAGTTGGAAAAGTTAAGGACAGCTGAAGGGACAATCACTGGGAAAAGTGGAGAATATTAAGCGGGTTAGCTGCTTGAGTTAGATCGGGAGGAGCAGGTGGCAGGTGGCAGGTGGCAGGTGGCAGAAGGCATGTGGCATGAGGCATGAGGCAGGAGCAGAGCAAATCAGATCAGATCAGATCAGATCGGGTACAGAGCAGGCAGGAGACAACAGGCGACAGGCAGCGGCAGCAAATCAAAAGAACTACGCAACAATCTCAAGAACTCAAACAAAAAAGTTTGT